AAGGCTGATCAGCGATATGAACCAGATCTCACCATGCAAATTCCAACATACCAACCACTACACCACCTTTTACCAGTTCCCTCTGGTAAGTGATATTAATAAAATTTCAGTTATGCTATCTACTGTTGCTTCGTTGAATATATAAATAAGGATCAACACAGCTGCATGCATTTTGGGGCTTTCCTTGCAGGGCCTGACTATGGACTTTTTGGGATGTGTGCATGGTGGCTGTCATGCTGAGCTCCTGGACTTTAAAAATATTACTTCATCACTGGTCAAATCCCAACTCTTGGCTCTAAGACTGTTTCCCCCAAGACTGACAGTAAATACAGTGGTACCTTGGTTTACGAACCTAATCCATCCTGGAAGTCCGTTCTTAAACCAAAGTGTTCTTAAACCAAGGCGTGCTTTCCCATAGCAGCGGGGGACTCAATTTACAAATGGAACACACTCAACAGGAAACGGAACATGTTCTTATTCCAAGGCAAAGTTCACAAACCGAAACATCTACTTCTGGGTTTGCAGCGTTCTTAATCCAAGTTGTTCATAAACTAAACTGTTCTTAAACCAAGGTACCACCGTAAAGCCTTTCCTGAGAGGGATAACAACTTGAATAAAATATTGGCGGGGCACACACACCATTTGAATGGCAATGCCCATCAACTTTGGGGGGCAGCCCCCTCTAATATTTTATTGGGGGGGGCAAAGGGGCCTTGGACCCTAGGAGTTGGCTTATATGCTTACAGATTTCCTGACTTAATAGTCATGTTTTCTATAGATATTCTCATTTCAAACTATTACTGTGGCTCAACAAATGAGCAAATACTTGCTAATGAGGACTCCTGTTCTTGCTCTAATTAACTTTTTTTTTTAAAAAACCCCACGTATGTTTCCCAATTAAATGAAGGTGTATTTCTTGTCAATTAAAATGGTGCTTTGATCAATTAACCTAATAAGTTACTTGAAGTTGTAGTCCTAATAACTGCCTGCTCCTTAGGATGGTATAGAATAAAGATCTAAATATTTTTTATACCACCCCAAGTTTGTGGTATCTCTTATTCCTGTTTATAAGGGCAAAGTTCTTCTAGTAAATGAATTCATCTTATTCTGAAGCCAAAGCATTGAGCTGTTGCAAATAAGCAGTTCTACGCACAAAGAAAGAAATCAGAAGAATAGGGAATGGGTTACTTCTTACAGAACAGACACTGGATGCCTAGTGAAATGCTTTTGATAGGTATGATTTCTTTCCTGTATGTCCAACCCTAATGTAAGTTGTAAAATACACCCCCCATGCTCATGAAGACATATCAGGCTCTTTTATTCCATGTTGCCAGGGACAATGTACAGGGCCATATTGTGGCCTGTGGTGTGGAAGTAAGTACTGCCTGCATATTCTAGAGCTTCTGAAAGCCATACCTATATCCAACAAGCTTTGTATAACTCAACTGCCTCCAGCATCATGATACTGCGGTTACATTCTATGCAATTTCTCTCATTCCTTTTACTTCTGATATGGTGCAGAGCTGCACGCCTCAGACTGGATTTAATATTTCTCTTTAAAAGGCAAGTCTACTGAATTTCTATGCCAGGTCATGAAACCTCTAGCACAGGAACTGTCATGGAGGATTAGTCCTCCAAGAGTACAGGAAAGTCATCTGATATGCAGTCTCTCCCCACCCCCATCAGCCTGTCACAAGCAGGCAGCTTCAAGGACAGTTCTGAAGACTCACCGTGTGCTTCTTCTGTGTGGGCTGTCCTAAAAAAAGGAGAGAAGGGACTGCAAGGTTGGTGTTAAAGGACTATCATTTGGATACAAACTGGCCTGTGGTCAAGTGCACAGAATAGTCATTTTTAAATTTTAATTTATTAATTAAAACACTTCTATCTTGATGAATCGTTGCAAAGAGCTATTGCGGACAAAAGTTGGGCTGCAACATTCTGCACTAGCTGCAAATTCCAAACCTTTCTCCAGGGGAGTCCCATGTAGAGTGCATTGCAACAGTCTGGTGTAGCGCACCAATGCCTATTCTACTATGGCTAAGCTATACCTGTAGAGGAGCAACTGTAGTTGGCACAGCAGCCAAAGTTTGAAAAAAGCACTCTTGGTCACCCAAAGCACCTATGCCTTCACTGACAGTGATGGATCCAAGAGTAGTTCCAAGATACTTAGCTGCACTTTTAGGGAGAAGACAACCTTGTCAAGAACAGGCAATCTTCCAATTTTCTGAACTTGGGAACTGCTCACCCACAGGGCTTCGTTCTTACTGGGATTCAGCTTCAGTTCATTGGCTATCATCCAGCCCATCACTGGTTCCAGGCACTGATCCACACATTATTATTCACATATTGGAAATAGTTCCTGAGATGGAGCAGCCTGGAAAGAAGCTGGAACTGTGTACTTAGCTATGCCAGCACTAACCCCAGTTTCTTCTACCAGATGCATTAATCCATAATAAAGAAAATGGACTATATGGCTGCTATCAGCCACAGTCTCTGTTTGGGTGCAGTATTGCTGTACACAACTGTGGAATTGCTATTATGCAAATCAGCTTTAATCCAAATTTAGCTAAAGCACATAAAAGGTACAAACATGACCCCAGCTTACTAACTAAAGCATAGGCTGTTTACATTTGGGATTTTAAATCAAACTATTATGTGAATCCCAGATGCCATAGCACTAAACACACACCAGGGGCCCATTATGCTAGGCACTGTACAAAGAGAGAAAAATGCATAGTTCTTTTCTCAAATGATTTAGCATCTACCTATAAGACAGGAGACTATTTTCAGCAGTATGTACAATGCCACAGCATGCTGCATTCTAATGCATATCTGAGTGGGACAAAACAGGATTACAGTAAATGAAAACTTGTCAATATACATGGAATGTAGAGTTCTTTCCTGTGAAAGCCTTTCCCCACAAATCTTCCTGAGCTCCCAGAAGGTGTAGGTTCTTGCTCCCAGACAATCAAAGCTAGTGTAGAATCAAAGCAGAGAATGGATGGAGGCAAAAGTCCACAAATGAAGCTGGCAGAGTGCCAAACTGACACCCACTCTTTATCACTCCATTGGACCAAAGCTTTTCTTCTTTTTCCTGCATGACATATAGAGATGGAAATGGGAAGCCGAAAATCCCCCAGCAACCCCTCCCCCTGTAGATGCCACCCTAAGCATCCTTTACTTGTCCACTAACCCGTCCCTGCAAGCAGTGTATAGAAGAATAAAGTAAAGGTCATTAGAGGGTTGTTCTGAGCCCATAACCCCTATAAGCTCTCCCTATCTTTCCAGCTACCATAAATATATCACAAATTAGTAAGGCATATTTGCGTGCTTCGGACTGTTGTTCTTTCCAGAAACATGGCAAAGGACAGCTGCATACCTCGGTGAAAGGGTTTATGAGAAAATCAATCAGAAATGACACTTTGGACTGTTTCTGGTACTATGGTTCTTCCCATATTCAAGCTTGCTTGAATTCCAGGCAGGCATCAATCATTAAAATGTGCCCATATTTATTTATTTAAGAAAATGTTACCATTGCTGCAGGGTTTCCCCCAAGAAATCTCTTGAGGATTAACTGCTCTGAAAAAAATGGGAATCTATTAAAGGTGTCCATACCAGCATAAAAGGACCTACAGAACACAATGACTGCTTTGCAGTCATTAAATTTAAAATAAGTGTGTCTGTACGTTTGTGTAAAAGGGTGAAAAAAAGAAGAGCACTGCAGGATCAAATAGAAAGTCTGTCCACTGCAGCACCCTGTTCCTTAAGGTGGCCAAATAAGTGACTCAGTGAAGCCCTCAAGGAGCACACAAAGGCAACAGTCCTTCCCTACCGCTGGTGTTAAGTGTAATCTTTAGCCTTTAGCCATCATGCTTAAAAGCCACTGATTGACCTATACTCCATGAATTCATCTAATCACTTTTAAAAGACATGCGGTCATCACCACATATCTTGGTAATGAATTCCATAAGTTAAATATATATGGTGGCCACCAATCAAAGCACATTGTGCTGGGACTTGCTATAGAGGCACCCTGGCTATGGAACAGCCTCCTTCCACCCCTCACATCCAAGCGCAGCTGCTTGATTTTCAGTGCTAGCTGAACGCCTTCCTCCTGGCTTTTGGAGAGAGAGTCACCTAGTGGCACTGGCCTGTACTGGAGTGAGAGGGACAGGGGAAACACTTTATGTAGTGAACTGGTTATCTCTAGTTTCAGTTTTTACTGACTTGAGTTTATGCTGCATTTCTACAGCTGTACCCTCCCTGAGATCACTTGACACTGACAGCTGGGATATATATATATATATATATATATATATATATATATGAATATGAAGTGGTAATTTCTTTGGTCTGCTCTGAAATTTGTCTGTTTTAGAACTATTGCCAAACAATTTTGCTGGTTGACTCCAAATACGATAATTTTTATTGTCCCATTTTCTGTGGATTATTTTTATGTACACAGTTAAGAAATGCAAACAATTAAGTGGTGTATAAATGATAGATAAACAATTGGATAGATATCCAATTGATAGATAAACAAATGCTATTGCTTAACCCCTTAATCGTTTCAGCCAGCCCTTCCTACACCTTTTTCCGTTTTTGAGATGAGGCAACCAGCACTGTATGCAGCTGCAGATTTATTACAGTACTGGGAGTTTTATTTTTGTTCCTTTCCCAAATAGTCCCTTGTATAGAGTTTGCCTTTTTCAACGCTGCCACATGCTGTGCTGACGTTTTCATTGCACTATCCACCATGACTCCAAGTTCTCTTTCCTGGTGAGTCACTGCCAGCATGATTCTTGTAGTAGTAGTGCACTAAGAAATCAGAAAAAAGTGGATGAGAAGAAGGAGCAGCCTTGTCTTCTGCACCCTCTCTCTCCTTTCAGCTTGCTGTTTTCCAGGATCTCTGCCTTACTCAGAAGCCCTTCCTCTCACTTTGCCAGGCACTTGGTGTGGAATTCTATTGATTTAAAGGATTGTTCATATTACTTAGCATCTTATAGTTCGGCTGGTAGAGCATGAGACTCTTAATCTCAGGGTTGTGGGTTTGAGCCCCCACATTGGGCAAAAGATTCCTACATTGCAGTGCGCTGGCATAAATGACCCTCATGGTCCCTTCCAACTCTGCAATTCTATGATTATAAGATTTCTGTGGCTTTGCTTTGTACAATAGCATTCAGGCAGCCCACAGCCACATTTCTTTCCACACCACACTACCTGTTTCCACCATTAGATGCTTCTGTTGCCTTTACAGGTCTGCGTTCCCCCAAGATCCCACATTGTACCATGATGCATTCCACCTCACATTCCTATTAAAAACCTAATTTTTCTTGCACCTACAGGTCTGTCATTGCTCCTTTGCAGCCTAGTGCTCCACATCCTTCTATAATTCCTTTTTTAAAAAACACCCACATGTCTCACACAATCAAGCCTCCATTTCTTGCCTATATGTGATGAGAAGGGGCACAGAATGCTAAAAAATATTTTCTGATTGCTTCACTATCAAACTTCTAGGTTAAAAGACAGCTTTGTAATGAATGTAGAAGGACAGGCAAAGCTTGTGCTCTTCAGAAGTTTGTGAGATGTGTTGGGCAGCTCAGCATGTTAAGGTTTCCATCTTCAGTCTTCCATATGTACAGAAAGCCAGATTCATTGTGGCCTAATAGGTGAAGAAATGGGGCAGAATCTGTGTGGAATAAAAATTCAAGTGCTACTCAGTGGAGAGGAGGCCTTGAAGAATGCTGATCTACCCAGATCCCCTTCCTAGATCAAGCTTCCTCAGTCTGGCATCCTCTGTGCCTGATGAGAATTATAACCCAAAATATCAAGAGGTACCAGGTTGCATCATCCCCACTACTTATATCTCACATTTTTCTCTGACAGGGACGCAAGGTGGCTTGCAGCTAAAATGTACCATCCATACAGACTCAGAGTCATATATTTGACTAAACCAGCACTTCTTGCAGTGTTCAATGTGCAATTCTGTTTTTTGTGTACTCTAGTTACCCCTACAGCCTCTAATGAAGAAGTGCCTTATGAACTCAGTAACTTAACTATTAGAGGGACCCTTCTCTGAGCTCCTCAACTGCCATCACAACCAACGAATCCCTTTCCCCTGTCTGCCCAATGTGCAAAAGGGAAACAAAGCAATTTAAAACAGTTTATGTTGTGATTTTCTCCTCCTCTGCCCAAAAGGGGGCCATCTTGCAAGAAAACCTGTTTATTAAATGATCCTTTTACATGTTTCATGTTTCTTTTTCTAAAAAAAATGTTTTATAAAGCTGTCACTGCAAAATGAGAATTTTTTTGTAGCACTCTTTGAAATAAAGATGTGATGTGGGATCAATTTTTTATGGCAGTAAAGTAAAAGGGGGAAATAGTAGCAATTTTCTCTTTTGAACATGCCCTATTTAATGGAATGGATGTCACGGTAAAGCTTTATCCTAGGGAGATGTAAGGAGAACCACAAAATGATTATATGGTCAAAGACTTCTGTATTATGTATTTCCCCATTTCCCCATATCTCTCCTGTAGCCACTTAGGATATCCTACTATCCTAGCATTCTTTACTCTCCCCTCCTTGTCCTTGTTCTGTAGGCCCACCAAAAGGTCAGCTAAACATGCCCAGGGTTGGAAGGAAGAAAGAATGGCATCGAAAGAAGAATAGATACTGAAGCTGATGGATTATGCAGAAATGGCGAAATTGACTGGGAAGATTAGTCACCAAGAAGACCAAAAAATAGAAATGAATAGATTAATTTTATAAAATATATGAAGGAGCATTGCAAACATTTAAAAATGTCAGCAGGGTTGGATTAGCACTTGTAACATAAATTGATAAAAGGTATTGAAAAAGGAGATTTTATAGAGTGCCGCAACCCCAGAGTCGTCCGCGACTGGACCTAATGGTCAGGGGTCCCTTTACCTTTATTTAGTTGCAGAAAAGAGAAGAAATAAATATTGGAAACCGGGGAAAGGGGGGGGGAGTCCGAGGGTTGGAAGAACCCCTATAAAGCTAGTGAAATTGCTATGGATGAATGCAATTAATACTGTATGCAAAAAACTTTTAAAATAAGATATATATAAAAAACAAAACAAAAGTTCATCTAAACAAGCAAACAAAATGGAGAAGTCAGATCCTACTCTTCTGGAATAAAAGACAAATGCAGAGCATAATATGTCTTTTTGAAAACTACGTACAGTACAGAAAAATATTTGTTACAGCTAATCTCTGCCCCACTTTCCCCACTCCCCACAAGCTACAGACACTAGAATGGAATGGAAAGCCTTCTTGCTATTTATTCAAATTTGAACGGAAATTTGCCCACACCAAATCCCACTTCATTAAAATATCAACCAATGTGCGCAGGAACTTCCAGGACCCAAATGCAACTATGTACTCTCCAGGGTTTACACCTGGATACATAGGAGACCACCATTCTGAGTGTTCAACACCCCTGCTGTGCAGGAATGGAAACTACAATATTCAAAACATGTTATTTTGTGAAAGAGAAAGACAAACAAACAAACAAACAAACAAACAAACAAACAAACAGAGTATATATAGAATATGCTGCCTATTCTGGTAGCAATAAGACCATTCTATAACTGGTCAAACCAAAATTAGTAAAAAACAAAAATATGCATTTGCCAGTACTGGTGATTCTAGAAGACTGCAGTCTTGTATTCATTATTCATTCATGCCTAATGCTGGAAGATATTTCCAATTGTCAATTTTACTCTGGAACCTTTGGTGTGATATCTGTCAGACACGTGTGGTTGTGTAAATATTGTATCTGCTAAGACAACTAGCATAATAGGCATGCTTTAAAAAATACTGGAGTAACACCTTCTAGCTCCCTACTCCCACACATAGTAACTTGGGGAAATCTGTTCTAAAATTAGAGCTGCGAAAGGAAGTACATGTATGTGGGAGAGCAAGGAAAGCGGAAGAAAAGGGGCACAAGAGAATGCAGGGAGAGAAATCTGTGTGAAGTGACATGCCAAAGTGAGTGGAAATGAGATATAGCAGACATTAAGAATGGATGAGAGAGAACATCACAGATTAAGGGAGAAAAGCACACAATGCTGCCACAATGCAAGCCTGCCTTAGAGACACAGTTTTCTGTCATGGAAAACAGTTTGTATGTATAACAATATAATGGGAGAATGCCTGACTTAACTTAATTTGGTTCATATCAGTGAGCCACTATATTAGCCTGTTTGCGTTGCATCATGGGAATAGCCTCTGTGGCACTTACTCCTGTTTGTGACATAGACACCAGAAACTGCAATGAGGCAAGCATTGATAATTGCTGACAAATCAGGAATGTGACTGGGAAAGGCTTCAAAACCAGTAATTTATCAGCCTCTCGGGGAACAGATTTCCTCCAAACAGAAACAAGTGTCAACCAGTCACAGACATAATTTATGACATAGTAGGCAATCCTTGTTTCCTTTAAATGCTGGAATTTACACCAGGTATTTCACATTCATGACAATCTTGAGGAAAGTCACCAACTCCTGCTTCAAAATAATATTTTTATTTTCCTGTTTCACATCACCACTCTGTGATTCTGTGATTCCCACTACCATTTTATATGTGCATCTATGATATGGTTCAGCAAACTAAGGCCCGATTGCCTTCTAGATTCGGCCTGCGGACGATCCGGGAATCCAGGCAGCCGGCATAGTGCATGCGTGCGATGGTTTCTGCGACTCAGCTAGGCTTGGGGGTCAAAAGTGAGGCGGGCGGCTGCTCAAGACAAGCCCCTTCTCCATCCGTTGCATGCAGCAATCTTGTCTTCCGGGGTGGGGATGAGGGAAAAGGAGCCACAGTTCGGATTTCCACTATGGAGCTGCCAGCGATTGACCTCAGGAAGGGCAGTTGCGGCGGCAGGGGCTTGGAGGCGCCTCGGAAGCGACACCTGCAGCGGTGCAGCGGTGCTCCCCACCAGAGGAAGCGGGGAGCGCCTGGGCGGCTGCACTCCAAAGCAGTTCTGCACTCTGCTGGGGAGGCTGCTTGTTAGCTACACGGTGCGAGCCAGGGAAAGGTAAATAGCCACCGCCTCGTCTTCCCTCACGTGGGGAAAAGAATGTTTTTGCTTGAGTGGCGCCGGCCTGACTTAGCTTGGCCAACAGCTTTTCCCTTCACCCACGCATGCACAAACACTCTCTAGGGCTGACAGGAATGTCGCGCTTACCTCAAACACACCCTACGAGAGAAATAATAACTGTCAATGCGTTAAACGCAAAGGAAGCAGTGTGGGTGTATGAGGGAACACCCCCCCCCCAAAAAAAATCACATTTGGGCAACGTTGGGGTTGGTCCCAATAAGGGTTTTTGCCAAAAATGCAGGTCATAATCTGGCAACATATAGGCTGGCCCCTCTACAAGGTCTGAGGGGCAGTGGACTGGCCCCCTGCTGAAAAAGTTTGCTGACCCCTGATCTATGAGAACCAAAATCCCTTTTAAGATTGAGGTTTTCCATGGATTAAGCAGCACATCATGGCTCCAACAAATTCCGCTCCCTTTCACATCTCTCTCAATATTACACGTTGTGATAGCTTTAGTGCATCATTTGACATCAGACCATGGAAGGGTTGCTGGTTGGTTTTAAAAGATGAGAGATTAACTCTTACCAGAATCCTGAATCCAGACCTTGGGTCCTGATCGCCTTTCATTTCTCCAAATGCAGAATCGCTCTAATGAGAGCCGAGAAAGATATAATTTTGCTCCTATCTCTATTTTCAGAGTTCATAACAAACGTTACACTCGCCCACTTTGTTTCCTTGTAGATTAGAGTCTTTCATTTCTTTAGGAGTGTGAATGTGCTAGGAACTATTGATTTTTATATGTACGCTTTATGCTGCCCATGATATTTATGGCACATTTCATAAATGTATCCTATCTTTCTTGTAATAAACAACCTCCTTTTGAGCACTCTTATGTGAGCATATTTTCTTGAGGGTAATAAAGACTGGGTAAACACACATTGGAAGAGCGCTTGATTGTTTCTCTTGCAAAAGTTCCTGCCTCTCATAAGTGTGTTTTAAGGTCATGTGTGAAGT